CGCCCAAGGGCTGCCAGTCCACCCTCCCTGTGGGCGGGCGGCACGCTCACCCCGGAGGAGGCGACGACGATTGGTGGTGCGGGCGCCGCGGTCCAGGGACAGGAGGCAGCCGTTGTGGGAAGTTCCTCCTCCTCCTCCTCCTCCTCCTCCTCCTCCTCCTCCGTGGGTCGACGGGGGGGCCACGGTGCCATCGGAGTGGCCGGAGGGTGCTGCCGGGCATGCCGCGCAGCCTCTGTGCCGCCCCGATGCCCGTGGTCGTGTGTGCGGGGCCTCGTCCCCGCCGCCCCTGGCAGCCGAGCGCCGCGCTGGCCAGGGGGCGAGGGTGTCGGCAGGGCATCAGACGCTGTGGCTCTGCCAGTCGCGGCCCAGGCCAGTCACCCCGTGGTAGTGCCGGCCTCCGCCTTGGTGGCAGTGCTGCTGGTGGCAGTCGTGGCGCTGCTGCTGGTCGGGGTCGCAGTCCTCCTCCTCCTCCTCCTCCTCCTCCTCCTCCTCCTCCTCCTCCTCCTCCTCTACCGTCGGCGTTGGCAAACTCGAGCGTCAAGGCTGTAGCGCCCGCCTCCTCCTCCTCCTCCTCCTCCTCCTCCTCCTCCTCATCCTCATCCTCCTCCTCCTCCTCCTCCTCCTCCTCCTGGTTACTGGTTCCTGGTTGCTGATGGCCGTAGAGTCTCCTCCTCCTCCTCCGTCTCCTCCTCTTCGCAGCCCGGGTTCCCTCCCTCGGCGGGCCGAGCGCGAGAGCTGCTGGCCGACGGGGGACGGGGGCGGCCGCCCGCGCCGCCTCGCCGGAAGGGAGAGGGGGGTGGTGCGGCGGATGGGGCGGGGCTCCGTGCCGCAGGCATACGGCCTTGAAATTCTCGCGTCGAGAAGAAGCGGCGGGAATTGTGTTAATTAACCGTTTTCGGCCACTGGGGGCCCTTGCAGGGCCCTTGGGCTTCAAAAACTGATCAGGATGATGGGTCGGTTCTTGCGAAAGGGTCCAGACCTCTGGGGAGCCACGCTGTGGCAGAATCACGACGCCGGATGTCTGGGTAATCAGGTGAGCGCGTCCACATCCGGGGCTCCCCGCTCGAAAGAGTGAGCTTCGCCCCCCTGGCCCGAGGTACTGCGTAGGGGGCTCAGGCCTTCAGTTCTGAGGTTTAGGGCTGTATTGGGGGAAGGTGCGGGGGGGGGAGGGCCAAGCGAGGGGGGAGAAGGTGGGAGGGGGAATCAAGGGAGATGAGGAGGAATGATGCGGTTGGGCAGGGGGGCCGGGCGGGCAGGGCGGCGGGTGTGAGGAAGGATAAAGGATGCGATGAATTGGTGGAGGGGGGTAGGAGGGGAAACGCAGGGGAGAGAGGAAGGTGGGAGGGGAGCGGGGGTCTCGTGAACCCCCCAAAACCTCACAGGACCCCCCAAACTCTCTAACACCTTCTCCTTGATCCTCCCTCCTCCCTGTTATACTCCTCCTCCTCCTCCTCCTTCCATCCTCCTCCTCCTCCTTCGAACCATCCTCCTCCTCCTCCTCCTCCCCTTCCTCCTCCTCCTCTCCTCGTCCTCCTCCTCCTCGTCCTCCTCCTCCTCGTCCTCCTCCTCCTCCTCCTGCTCCCCCCTCTCTCCCTCATCTGCCCCTCCCTCCCTCCCTCACTCCCTCCCTCCTCCCTCCCTCCCTCCCCTGCCTCCTTTCCTCCTCCTCCTACCTCCTCCTCCTTCTCCTCCTCTCCTCCTCCTCCTTCTCCTCCTCTCTCTCCTCCTCCCTCCCTCCCTCCCTCCTCTCCCTCCCTCCCTCCCTCCCTCCTCCTCCTCCCTCCTCCTCCTCCCTCCTCCTCCTCCTCCTCCTCCCTCCTCCTCCTCCTCCTCCTCCTCCTCCTCCTCCTCCTCCTCCTCCCCCTTCTCCCCCTCCTCCTCCTCCTCCTCCTCCTCCTCCTATTCCTCCTCCTCCTCCATTTCTGTTCCTTATAAATGATTCCTCCTTGTCGCACCCCGAGGCCAGTCGGCAGGGCGGGCCAGGCGCCTCGCCTGAGACTTCTTTACCATGTATGCTCATCAAGCTTAACACTTGGCATCAGCTTCACATCAAGGGCAGAAAACAAAACGCCCCTGCCCTGGTTTACGATGCGCTGTGCTCTGAAACTCCTGTGGGCCGACAGGGTAAACCCTGCGTGATGTGCCGCGTCCTGGCAGCTCTAGGCTTAGGGGGTTCCCAGGATGTTTACAGATCACTCACTTGTAATCCAGGGTAGGGCCGTTTTTTTTCATCCCTCAATCACAGATGCAGGGCAGTTTGTTTTCAACATGTGACTCTCGCCTTAGCCCCGCGCAAACTCGTCTTCAACACTTGCAAGAGTTTCACGGATTGCTGGCGGGTGGTTTTCAACGTGTGCACGTCGCTTTGCAACAGTGCCGCGCGCGTTCGTTTCAAACATTTGCCAAGAATTCCATGGATTGAGGGCGGGCCGTTTTCAACATGGGGCTCTCGCCTTGACGCCGCGCGCACTCGTTTCAAACATGTAGGGCGGTTCCTTTTCAAATTGTGGCTCTCGCCTTAGCGCCAGGCGCATTCGTTTCAAATCTATGCAAGAGTTGTACGGATTCCTATGACCCCGTTCCCCGGATAATAAAGAGTACCCCGCTTACCCCTGAATGGTTATTATCCCCTGGTCAGACAGATTTGATTGTGGAGAGGGGCGGCGAGGCCGAACTTGATTATCGCGGGGGGAAGTTGCGAATCGAAATGGCTATCTTCTTGTGTTGATTCGCAACATCATCGAAACGCTGAGCATGGCAATGGAAGTCTTACCAGTTCAGCTTTCGCAAGTCACGAGCGTGTGGCAGGGCTATGGCATTCTCACCATTTCAGTTTTCCCAAGTCCCGAACGTGCGGCAGCGCCATGGGATTCTCACTTTCTCAGCCTTTTTCGCGCCAGTGACCTCCTTTGCGCAGGCCACCTTTAGATGCGAGACTCGAGGACGCCAAGGACAGTTTGTGCCAGGATCTAGTTACACGAGCGCCCAGGATCATCATCACCCACATCATCATCATCATCATCATCATCATCATCATCATCATCATCATCATCATCATCATCATCATCATCATCAGCATCATCATCATCATAATCATCATCATCATCAGCATTATCACCATCACCATCGCCATCACCATCTTCATCACCATCATCCTCCGCCGGGAAAAACGTTTAGTATCCCCCCACCCAGACCCCGAACTTTATTGACCCCAGGGGTTTATCATCAGGGGTATGGGATTGGTCAGCGTACCAGGAACGATGCTTTGAAGCGGTTCAGGGTTGTCAGGGCGCAGCAGTTACGTTGATTCGCGGTATTGAAGTCCCAGGAATAGTGTTCTGGCACGATTCTGGACCGTCAAGACGCAACAGTTAAGATTAATTCGTGGCGATGGGGTCCCGAGAATAGTGTTTTGGCATGCTGCAGGATCTTCACACGGTTGTCTCCGAACGGGGCATTTTTTCAGTGGAAATGAGTTCTTGTAGGAGTCTATGAAGAGGCTTTATTCCAACATCGTTGAGGCTTGGTGGGGGGCTTTATTCCAACATCATTGGCGATTCTTGGGTTTACACTGTTCCTCCTCGTTCTCTTCCTCCTTCTCCTCCTCCTCCTCCTCCTCCTCCCTCCGTCCCTCCCTCCGTCCGTCCGTCCTTCCTCCCTCTGCTGAATCCGCGATCCAGGCACAAGTCCTTCTTCAGGACCAGTGGCCGCCTGGGTCAGGCGTATCGGCCGGCAGTCTCTCCCTCCCCCCCCCTCCCTCCCCTCCCCTCCCTCCCTCTCTCCCTCCTTTTCCTCCTCCTCCTCCTCCTCCTCCTCCTCCTCCTCCCCTCCCTCTCCTCTCTCCCCCTCCCTCCCTCCCCTCTCCTCTCCCCTCCACTCCCTCCCTCCCCTCCCTCCCTCCCTCCCTCCGCCTCCCCCTCTCCTCTCCTCCTCCTCCTCCTCCTCCTCCTCCTCCTCCTCCTCCTCCTCCTCCTCCTCCTCCTCCGCTCCCCTCCCCTCTCCCCTCCCCCCGTGATGCGGGGCTCGGGCTACCCCTCTCCTCTGGCGCCCCCCCGAGAGGTGCAGCGGCACCTGCCGCCCGACCTTGAGGTCGTGCGCGCGCTCCTCAGCTCGGGGGGCGGGGGGGTGCGAAGGGCCTCGGGGGTCGCGTTCGAGGTTCGAGGCTCCTCCTCGCCATCATCTTCGTCGTTTTCCTCCTCCTCCTCCTGCTCCTCATCATCATCAGTATCATCATCATCATCATCATCATCATCATCATCATCATCATCATCATCATCATCATCATCATCATCATCATCATCATCATCATCATCATCATCATCATCATCGTCAACAACATCATCATCATCCGCATCAGCATCATCATCATTATCATCATCATCAGCATCATCATCATCAGCAGCAGCATTATTATCAGCATCATCATCAGTATCATCATCAGCATCATCAGCATCAACATCATCATCGTCATCATCATCAGCATCAGCATCACCATCATCATCATCAGCATCATCATCATCATCATCATCATCATCATCGTCATCGTTATCATCATCAGCATCATCATCATCATCGTCAGGATCACGAGCATCATCATGACCATCAGCATCATCGAGTTCGACCCTGACACGTCCGATCTTCAGAGCAAGGTGGCGTAGTCTTTGAAATCTCGTGAGTCCTCAGCTAGGGCAACGCTTCTGTTTCCCCGAAGTCGGTATTCTCTCCCTGGTGCCCCCACTGACAGAGGTTTCCTGGATCTCGGCATTGTTAATATGTCTCTCCTCCCATCCAGTGCCGTGGCTTATCTGAAGCCTCCGTGTAACGCTCGGCCAACGACTGCCAGATATCGCCATAGCGTCGAATGCTGCACGTTTTGTTGCTCTCCGCCGAACGATCGCATTCGGCACGTGCTCGATTGCGATGGAAACATCTCCGCTCTGCAGCGCGGTTTGCCCGTTTTGTCGCAGTCGTGGGTCTCCGCCGCTCCCCTGCCTCGCCGCATCCTGCACGACCTGCCCAATCTGCCTCGTGATCAGCTGCTGACGTGCTCGCTCTGCCATGAACCCATGGCTCGGAAGCCCAGGGGCAACGTTGGGATAGGCTCATGGGGAGGGTGCATCGACCCCCAGAGTGATCCGAATTTCGGGACACGAACTCTATACACCGACGCTTTTTCCAACCCTGCGCCGAAATTCGCACAGGAACGAGGATCCTGGTGTATACGGGATCCTGGTGTATACATGTTTCGTTGTTCCCCTTGAAACGGGGGAAAAAATACACCGCACCACCTCGACGTCGTCCCCGACCTTCAAAAAAGTCCTGGGATCAAAAAACCGCGCGCCACTGGTAATGTATATGCTCCAGCTTCCGATAGTTGCCCACTCGTCGACTATGTGGGGCGTGATGTCCCACCCCGCCCAGGAACATGCGGATCCGCAATGGGGGGCCTACTGCCGCCGATCTGTCAACGACGTCTCGATGATTCCAGCTTGATGTTTTCCCTCGTGAGCTGCCCCCCTCTTCACGTTCCCCTCATGGTGCTACAGGAAAGCCTTTACTGTTCAAGGTTGAACCACCTATGCAGTGCCAGGACCCAACGCAGACTTCATTGCGACGTGAACCCGCCGTATCAGAAGGGGCGTTCCACAAGGCCCTCGACCCCACGAATCCAGGGATCACTCTCTCGCTCTCGGCGGGGGCCATTTCCCCGCGCGTCCTGAACCATGTCCAGCCTTCTCTTGGACTGGTGGACGGGCGTGAAGGAAGCATCGGTGCTGATGATGATGATGATGATGATGATGCTGATGATGATGATGATGATGATGATGATGATGATGATGATGATGATGATGATGATGATGATGATGATGATGATGATGATGATGATGATGACTGGTGGGCTCGGCTCGGCGCGGCCGCAGAGAGCGCTTGCCTGCTCCCGAGCAGTCCGACGGACCAGCTGCGGCAGAGGCGTGCTCGACGACCTGCGATCTGCACCAGGGAGATGCTCGGGTGCCTCGGCGCTCCGCCGCGGGAAGCCCGCCTTCCTCCTCCTCCTCCTCCTCCCTCCTCCTCCTCCTCCTCCTCCTCCTCCTCCTCCTCCTCCTCCTCCTCCTCCTCCTCCTCCTCCTCCTCCTCCTCCTCCTCCTCCTCCTCCTCCTCCTCCTCGCTCCCGGCAGGGGGCCCGGCTCGGCGCCCGGCGAGCCCCCGAGGCTGGTTCCCCCTGCGCGACCCCGAGTTCAACGCGCGCTGGGCCTGCCGCAAGAGGGAGCGCTCGTCGCCCGGCCTCCTCTGGTCCTTCCCCTGCCAGGAGAGAGAGGCCAGCCGCCCAGCCCAGGAGGCCCCCGGGCTCCCCAAAAAGGGGGTGCGGGCATGAGCGCTCTCAGCGTCCCGCGAGAAGCCCAGGCCATCGGGCCCGCCTCTCCCCCGGGGGGGAAAAATACACACACACACACACACACACACACACGCACACACACACACACACACGCACGCACGCACGCACGCACGCACGCACGCACGCACGCACGCACGCACGGCACGCACGCACGCACGCACGCACGCACGCACGCACGCACGCACGCAC